GGCGGCGGGCGGAACACGTGCGGGGCGGGGCCGGGGTCCCGGGCCTTGGCCCACCTGGCCTGGCTGATGTATGCACACGCGCTGGCTCCGAAAGTGGCGCAGGCGCTGTCGGCGCCGCTGCTGCGTGGCCTGTACCTGGCTCTTCATCTCAAGAAAGCCTTCCTCCTGGGCCGCCGCCTTCCTCCTGGGCCGCCGCCTTCCTCCTGGGCTGCCTCGGCCTGGAGGGCTGCCCCGAGGCTCCTGGGAGCCCCCACGGCTACGTCAACACCCTGGCCCTGGCCTGGCAGAACCGAGGGGCCGGGGCCGGCCTCCCTCCCCCGGCCTCCCTCCCCCAGCCTCCCTCCCCCGGCCTCCCTCCCCCGGACCAGCCAGGCGTCCAGATGAAGAGATCCCATGAAGTGGGGGGGGGGACGCCCTGTGTCCCTCTGCACCCCAACACACAGGGCGGGTGGGGAGGCGGGCAGCTCACCCGGTGTCCTTCCCTCTGTCCCCGCCAGGCCCTGACCTCCCAGGGGCTGGGCGGCCTGTGAGCCACGGCTCCTCCCGCGTCCTCCCCCATGCCCCATCCTGGGTGGACGCGTCCGGGCGGGGTGCTGGTCTTGGTGCTGGATGGGGGTGTGCAGTGACCTCGTGTCTGTCAGCAATCCGGGGTGCTGTCTCCCCACCCCCATGTGCCACCCCCTCCCTTCCCTGCGTGGATTTACAGCCGTGAATCCCAGGGGGGGGCACTCTGGCTCTCCTCCGAGGGAGCCGCTTTCCCGGGCCTTCCGCATCCTGTCCCTGCCTCCTCGGCTCTCTTTCTGGGGTGGGCGAGCATTTCTACCTCTGGCTCCCGGCAATCCTTACACCACACGCTGGTGCAGCTTGCACAACGCGGCCACGCACTCCAGCTGCGTCCGACGTGGCCGCCACCCCCAGCGGGGTTTGGTGCCGGTTACAGGGTCTGTGAATGCCAGTCAGCCAGGCCTTCCGCCTCCAGAGGAACGCATCCCAACCGCCGCTTCGTGCCAGGGCTGGGCCAGAACGATGCTTGGAGCAACGGCTTGGGGGGAATTCCTGGATGGATGGACAGGAAGCTGGATCTTCTGGGGGGCCGTCGGGGAGCAGGGTACCTAATTCCCCATCTGTGGGGCTCTGGGGAGTCTGGTGTACATCGGAGGGAGTTGAGTGACCTTTCTCGGCTTGGCTTCTGGAGTTTGCTGAGCCTCGGCCCTCCTGGCCCTTCTCCGTGTCCTGCCTTGGTGACAGGTGACATCCAGCCATCCACTTTCAGTCTGGATGCCACTTCTGGAATCTGAGGCGGGAGAGGCAGGGGGCAGGAAGCCAGGCCAGAGGTCCCCCGCCCCCCCTGGGGTGAAACCTTAGGGATTTTCAGTTCCCTTTCTCCTTTCCTCTGTGTGAGATCTTGTGTGTTGTAGTAAACCCCAGAAGGTACCAGAAGACCTGGGTTCTTTTTTTTTGGGGGGGGGTCCGGTTGTGGGGCCTGAACGCTGTCCCTCAGCTCTTCAGCTCAAGGCTAGCACTCTACCACTTGAGCCACAGCGCCACTTCTGGCTTTTTTCTTTTTGCTTATGTGGTGCTGAGGAATCGAACCCAGGGCCTCAGGCATGCAAGGCAAGCGCTCTACCACTGAGCCACCTTCCCAGCCAAGACCTGGTTCTCGCTCTGCCTGGGGTCCAGTTCCGTGCCAGGTTCTGGGGCTCGCAGCTGCTTGTGTTGTTCTCAGATCCTCTCTCCAGCTTTACTGTCTCTCTACTACCTAATGTCAGACTGTGACGTGTCATCTGAGCCATGCCTGTCCCCCCCGGGGACCCCCCCCAGTGCTGTCTGGTGGTGGGGGAGCTGCAGCCTTGCTACAGGGCCAACTGAGGCGCAGCCGCCCGGGCACCCTCTCTGCACTGTGGGAGAACTCCACCTAGCCCGCCCCCCCCTGGGTGTTTTTCTTGGGTTGTTTTCTGCCCCCTCCCACCCACCCCCCCCGCCAGTCCCTCTCACAGTAAGAAATGGCCCTGAAGACCTCTTTCCCGGACTTTCTAGAGTTTTCAGGACGGGGTCTTGTGAGTGGGGGGCCACCGTCTGCTCGCAGCATTTCAGCATGGAAGAGGGGGTCTTTATCTGAGCCCCATCTTTGATCTGGTTTTACTTTTAAAAGCTGTTTCGTTATTTTTAAGGCGTTGTCCAGAGGGGTCACCATCTCCTCCGTGAGGTGCGGGGGACGGGACCCAGGGCCTCCTGCCGCCCCCACCCGACCTGCTCCTCTGGACCCGCCCGCGGGGTGTTTGCTGTCAGAGGCGTCTGGGACGCACGGTCTCGTCCAGGCTGGTCCTGAGCTCCTGGGCTCCAGTGATGCTCCCGCCTCAGCCTCCCGAGGGGCTGAGATTTCAGACGTGCGCGGGTCCCGCAAGGGCCTGGCAGAGTCGGATGTGTTTTTTTTTGGTGGAGAAGGGCTGGCAGGGCTGAAGTGCATCTCACGCCTTTATCACACTTTCCTCCTCCTTTCTCTTCTTAAAAATAAAACCAGACTTTTCTGGGGAGGGGAAGCATCCCCCCAAATTTGGGACCTGTGACAAGCTTCCCGTGTGGTCTACCATTGTTCCCAGCCTGGCTTCCACCCCGGGTCCTTGTGTTGGGGGGACGGCATCTGCCAGTGCTGCAGGAGAGGGGACTGCTGCCCGGGGGCCGACGCCTGGCGCATGGGCGTCTGCTGCTCAGCTGACCCCGGGGGACAGCACTGCGCCTGGCACGTGGGCGTCGCTGCTCAGCTGACCCCGGGGGACAGCACTGCGCCGGCGTGTGGGCGTCCGCGGCTCAGCTGACCCGGGGGACAGCACTGCGCTGGCGCCTGGCGTGTGGGCGTCCACGGCTCAGCTGACCCGGGGGACAGCACTGCGCCGGCGCCTGGCGTGTGGGTGTCCGCGGCTCAGCTGACCCGGGGGACAGCACTGCGCTGGCGTGTGGGCGTCCGCGGCTCAGCTGACCCGGGGGACAGCACTGCGCCGGCTTCCCTGCTTGAGGTGAAGCCCAGCGAGGGTGCCCGGGCCGGTCTCAAACCCCGACTGGAGCTCAAGTGATGTCTCCGCGTGGGGGGTTCGGCGAGCGCTGAGCTGTCACTCCCGCTCCAGCCGAAGCATCAACCCCAGGGGATCTGAAATCACCATGGTGACGTGGGGTTTGAACTTGGGGCCTCATGCTTGCTGGCCGCCAGCCCTACCGCTCTAGTTACACCCTGGCGGCGGCAGGCTGCTGTTTTGGGGTGGCTTCTGCTTTTGGCCTGGGGCAGACCGGACAGGGATCCTCCGCGCAGCCGGGATGACAGATTCACACCACACCACTTGTCTGGTTTTGTGAACATGGGGTCTCAACAACTCTCAGCCCCAGCTGGCCTCAAACCATGACCTTCCCCATGCTCATCTTCAGAGTAGCTGGGATTATAGACCACACCTGGCTAGCCCATGTTTGTCATCATAGATTTACTGAGTTATGTACTGGTCCTTTGTTGTTGGTGGTCGTAGGTCTTGAACTCTGGGCCTGGGTGCTATCCCTGAGTTCTTCAGCTCAAGGCGGGCGCTCTACCACTTGAGCCACAGCGCCACTTCTAGTTTTCTCGTGGTTCACTGGAGATCAGAGTCTCTTGGACTTTCCCGCCAGGGCTGGCTTTGAGCCGTGATCCTCAGATCTCAGCCTCCTGAGTCGCTGGGATGACAGGCGGGAGTTCTTAGGAGGCACTGTGAGGAAGTCAGATTCCTTGTGGGGAAAACTGCAGGAGCCGTGGAGCATGGCCGCCCTGAAGCAGGGAAGACAGCAGAGCGGGGGGGCGGGGACTGGCTGGGTGGGACGCTGGAGGGGCCGGGGCTCCGGGAGGCTGAGGCCCGGCCTTCCACGCAGCCCCGGCGAGGACCGGACCTGGGCCTCGGGAGGAGGAGCCCGAGCCCGCTGGGTCTGTGGCGGCCACCTGACCATGCGGGCTGTTTCCCTCCCGTGTGATGCAGTGGCCAGGAGGAGGCAGACAGGGAGGCCGAGCAAGCAGGGAGCTGGCCGGGGCGGAGCGGGCGGGGAGCAGGGCTGGCCGGCCGAGCCTGGCAGGGGCGCCGGCGGCCCCCCTGTAAGGCACGAGCCGGAGGCTTCTTACAGGGCTGGGTCAGAACGGAAGGAGGTGACAGAGGCCATCTGTCCTTCCCTGGGCCTGGCTCTGCCCCTCAGAACCTGCTCACGGCTCCAACTCCCGCCTCAGCCTCCCCCGGGCTGGGACCACAGGCGTCCACCGTGTGGGGCCCCAGGGGGGCTCATGCTCCTATGTGTGTACCCCGCCTCTCGAGGCGGGGATGGGGGGACTGGGGGCGGGGCTGTGGGCG